GTTCAGCACAAGCATGCAAGAGGAAATAAATCCACTGCTGCTGTGCACTAAGGGTGCACAAAAGGAAGCCGAGGAGTTAAATTTATATACGTTAACATATTTTGCCGTCGGGGCCTGGAGGAGCCCTTGTAAAAGTGCTTTTTCAGGAAGCCTGTGGTGAGCCAAAGGGGGAAGCCGAGCAGAGCGGAAAATGCACTGCAGAATACTTGGCGGGCGGGTCTCTGATCTTCTGTGCTGTGATCAGGGCCTAAATAAGCCTTCCTGGTTTAGACAGGGGGACGGCGGTCTCTCACAAGCATCTGTCTAGAAATCCTTTGCTGATGGAACTGGAATGCTGACAGGTTGCTTCAAAAGGGGGGGGGGTCTCCTGCTTTGAAGCCCTGACCTGGGTGGCCCCAGAGTCGCCTGATCTCATGAGATCTTAGAAGCTAAGCCAGCTCGGCTCTGGTCAGTACTTGGATGGGAGACCCACCAAGGAACACCAGGGCTGTGATGCAAAGGCAGACAATGGCAAAACCCCACTAATCATCTCTTGCCTTGAAAACCTTACAAGGTCACCATGAGTCAGATGCAACCTGACACCAGAGAGGGAGAGAGGGAGGGAGGGAGGTGAGGCGCAGAGAGAGAGAGAGAGAGAGAGAGAGAGAGAGCGCTACTCTGACAATGACTGAGTTCCATTTCAACAAGTCTTTCACTTGTCTGCCCGGCCAAGAGGTTTGGCAAGGCTCCAAGGATTCTCACAGTCATAATTTGGCAATGACCAGCTGCCAGGAGGTCTTGGGATATGACCCGGGGGCAAAAACGGCCGGTGCCATTACAGCCTGTGAAGGTATGCGTGGCTGGGTACGCCTACATAAGGGACGGGGGGGGGGGGGGGCCCACAAAGGGGGGGGGGGGGGGGGGGGGATGAGCATATATTTCTACAGCAATAGCCAAAGTATCTGCTTTGCAAATGACGGAGGGCTCACCATTCCTCTGACCTGGGTGTCTAAATTCAGGCAGAGCAAACATCTTTTAATTTAAGGTGCCATCC